TACACTGAGCAAATAATCTGAGAAGCTGGACTATATGAAGAAGAATGTGGCATCAGGATTGCAGGAAGAAACATTAACAACCTGTGATACACTGACAACACAACTTTGCTTGCCAAAAGTGAGGATAACTTGAAGCACTTATTAAATCTGCTGCAAAAGACCTCTTTCAAGTGCAGAAGAGCAAAAATATTTCCTTGAAGACTAAGATGCACCTAACCCAAGTCATAGTATTTTCAATCACCTCATATGTGTGTTAGAACTGGACAATGAATAAGGAAGACTGAAGAAGAGTTGATGCTTTTGAGTTGTGGTATTGGTGAAGAATCCTGAAAGTACCATGGACTGCTAAGAGAACTAACAACCTGTCCTGGAAGAAGTGCAACTGGAATGCTCCTTGGAAGCAAGAATGGCCAGACTTCGTCTCACCTACTTTTGTCATGTTGTCAGAAAGGACCATTCCCTGAAGAAGAATCTCATGCTTGGTCAAGTTGAGGGTCAGCAAAAAAGGGGACGGCCCTCAACAGGATGGATTGACACAGTGGCTACAGTAATGAGCTCAAGTATAGCAAGGAACATGGAGCTGGCACAGGACTGGGCAGTGTTTTATTTTGCTGTACAGAGGGTTGCTATGAGTCGGAGATGACTCAATGACAGGTAACAACAATAATAACATACCAGTACCAGGCTGTTTAGATTACTGTACTATGTAATATGTTTCAAAACTAGAAAGTGTGAGTCCTCCAACTTTGTTCTCTTTCAACTTTGCAAAATGGGAAATGATGCCTGTGAGACACCAAAGCATTTCCATGGAAACACACAAATACCACCAAGCCCAGCAGTGTTGACAATGGATGGGGGAGTACACTGAACATTGAATTTCATTGTCCGAAAGCAAAAACTCTCTTGAGTGGGTAGTTGGTTGAGACTGTTGGTGCAAAGGCCCCAGCTCTTAGGATGATGCAAGACCTAGCCAGGCCCTGAGGGCATTCAGCCCTGGGTGGCCTGTAAGAATCCCTCTCTTCTTGAAATCCCCTGCACAATGTGAGACTGACTAGGTACTTTGGCCTTGAGGTGAAGGTGGATCATTGTGCTTAAAATGTATACTTAGTACACTGATGAAAAGTCGTGAACTCAGTGCCCTGAAGTTATGAGTTTTCTTTGTGAGTATCCATCCATTTCTCTGATTTCCATAGTTCAGAATTAGCCTCTGCTGTCTTTTGGATTCCATAACTTCCATGAATTTTCCACCACCTTTATGAATCTGATTCTATTTCGTATTTGTTTATTTTCTACCCCCAGGTTTGGCCGTAAGCTCTGCCTCTTAATTACAATCCTCATAAATGCTGCGTCTGGAGTTCTCATGGCCATCTCACCCACCTACACATGGATGCTAACTTTTCGCCTGATCCAAGGACTGGTCAGCAAGGCTGGCTGGCTAATTGGCTACATCTTGAGTAAGTGTGCTTTTGTATGTAGCAGAGAACAAAGGGACTTGGCTGCCAAAATGTAAATGGGAAGAGGGAAACCACTCAGAAGAATGAACTAAGCTTCAAGGCAGTGTTGAGAGATATTTTTTTCTATATCAAAAGAATTTCTAAAATATTTTTAATCAACTCATTCTGCATTCTCCCTATTAAGAAAACAGTAAAGATACAAACAAGGGTAAACATCAGGCTGCCCAGATTCTTATATAACACTCTTTGTGTTTTATTTTAATTAAAAAGAAGTTGTCATTAGTCATGCTTGATAATGCCATCATCTCTTATTTATTTATTACAGCATTATCCTAATACTAATAGCATTAATATTAGAAATGTTCTTGTCTATCTGTTTACCTGGATTTTATTTTTTTCCTGCACCCAAGTTAGTATGTGTCTACTCTCTGTTGTTGTTGTTATGTGCTGTCGAGTCGGACCCGACTCACAGCAACCCCTCCTTGGGTTTCTGAGGCAGTATCACTACAGTAGTAGAGGTTTACCCTCTCTTCCCCATCCACCCTGGTAATCATCAAAGATTGTTTCTTTTTTTGTGAAACCTTTTTCTTGATTTGTTTCTAGAAGTGGTCTCATACAATATTTGTTCTTTGTAATTGGCTAACTTCACTCAACATAATGGCTTCTAAGTTCATCCGTGTTATGTTTCACAGATTCACCATTGTTCTTTAACGTTACATAGTATTCCATTATGTATATGTTCCATAGTTTGTTGATCCATTCCTCTGTTAATTGGCATTTACCTTGGTTCCATCATTTTGTTATTGAGAATAATGCTATGATGAACATGGGTGTGCTTATATATGTTTGTGTCATGGCTCTTAGTTCTCTAGGATATATACCTAATAGAGAGATTACTGGATCAATGATATTTTTATTTCCAACTTTTTAAGGAAGTGTCATACTGTTTTCCACAGCAGTTGCACCTTTGCACAGTTCCACCAGGAATGTATAAGAGTTTTAGTCTCTCCACACCCTGGCCAACATTTGTAGTTTTCTGTTTTTTTGAACTTTTTGCTTTTTGTGCTGGGGTGAAATGAAGTCTCATTGTTATTTTGATTTGCGTTGCTTTACTTGTTAATGATTTTGAGCATTTCTTCATGTGTTTGTTAGCTACCTAAATGTCTGTTCATGTCCTCTGCTTTTTTTTTCATTAAATTTGTCTTTTTGTTGCTAAAATTTTCTAAAATTTTAGAGATTAGCCCCTTGTTTGATGTGTCATTGCCAAATATTTTTTCCCCCAGCCTGTGGGTTCTTTTTTTATTCTTTTGGTGAAATCTTTTGATATGCAGAAGTGTCTAGTTTGTAGGAGGTCCCAGTCATCTGTTTTGTCTTCTGGCATTTGTGCATTTTTAGCTATATTCAATAGTGTATTTATGCTCTGAATTAGGGCTCCTAAATTTGCCCCTATTTCTTCTTTGGTGGTCTTCATGGTTCTGGGTTTTACGTTCAGATTGTTGATCCAACTTGAGCTCATTTTTGTACATTGTGTGAGATACAGGCCCTGTCTCATTTTTCTGCAAATGGTTGTCCTGTTTTGCCAGCACCATTTATTAAAGAAGTGACTATCTCTTGCCTATTTAGTTTTGGTCCTTTGTCAAAGAACAGTTGTCCATAAGTAGATGGATTTACTTCTGGGTTCTCAGTTCTGTTCCATTGGTCTGTGTATGTGTCATTGTACCAGTACCAGGATGTTTTAACTACCATGGCTGTAGAGTAGGTACTGAGATGGGAGAGTGTGAGGCCTCCTATTTTGTTCTTCTTCTTTAGACGTGCTTTGTTTACCAGGGTCTCTTTCCTTTCCATACAAAGTTAGTGATATGGTTTTCCATCTCTTTAAAGAAACATGATGGAATCTGAATCAGGATTGCATTGTATCTATAGATCATTTTGGGTAGTATTGACATTTTCACGATGTCTTCCTACACTCTCTTGGAGTTTCTGTTTCCTGTACCCGGAAGCTTTACACACAAAGAAACTCTAGTCAACCAATCCCAATCATAAAGAAGATTCAGTGATGAGAGATATGATAGATTTATAAGGGGCTTTATTACTTTGCATAAATTCACGCTAGTAAACTACAATTATTCTCAATGTATATATAAGAAAACTAAGAATACGAGTACTGTAATCAGTCTACTCAGCAACCAATTGTAGGTCCAGGAGTATTTGAATCCTAACAGCCTAGTATCTTTTAGAGCCGTATTAAGAGAAATTACCATCACCATCACTGTTGTTAGTTGCTGTCAAGCGAGTTCCAAGTCACTGTAATATTACATACAAAAGAATGAAATGTTGCCTGATCCTGAACCATCCTCACGATCATTGGTATGTTTCACTCCACTGTTGATGACTGAAAATCATCATCATTAGATCTTAGGAATTAAGCTCATTACTTTCCCCCCAGCTGCATTCAAATAGCATTCACACAAAGGGAAATGGACACTTAGAGGTTACCTAGAAAATATCCATAAAGTTTTCTTTACACATGAAAGAACTAGAATGTATGTGCAAACAATTTTACCTGGTCAAGTTAATTTGGAGAAGTTTATGAAATGAAGAGAAGATGGCACTTAATGCAGTTTCTGCCACAGTAGGCACCCAGTAAGTGTCTGGTCAATGAAGGAATTAAGGGTTTCCCGTCTTCCTTCTGAGGAGTGGCTGGTGGGTTTGAACTGCCAACCTTCTGGTTAGCAGTCAAATGCCTTAGGCACTATGCCACCAGAACAAGTTTGCCAAATATTTAAGCCAAAAATTCTGTGGTTTATGGGATATCTGGAATTTTGATTCAAGTATATGTTTATGTTATTAAAATGACGTCCCCTAGTTCCATGTACCATGGGCCTCATTTGTCTGTCCTGAAAATGCCATGGGATGGGATAGTTTATTATTATATCATGTGCAGTGATGCACTGGTAAATGGCTCTTGGAAAATAGAAAAGCCCTGATTTATAGTGTTTTCCAATTTCCATGGTGTAAATACTCCCACCACGGCTGCTTTCAAGATATCAATGGATTTTACAATGAGCTTGTAAAATTCCTGAAAATGTAAAACTCAGTTCCTGCAAGCCACAGCTAGTGGGCTCCAGCACATGGCCAGGTCTCTAGGTTTCCAAACCATTTAAGTGAATTAACAGAATTTTAAGGGAAACATTTAACTGACGTAAGAGAGCAAGTTATATTCAGGTGTTCATTTCCATAGAAATAATCTATAATCTAAATTCAAGTTCTGCTTTGTTTGTTCAGGTCTTGAGTTACTAATACCTTATTATTGAAGATCAAAATTCTGTGTGTGTATCTGAAATGCAACTGAATTTGCCCTTTAAATTATTCTATTATTCAAATGTTTTGATCATCTCGGCAAGTCTTTCATCCCACATAATGGGAGCTCTGGTGATGTACTGATTAAGGCATTTAACTGCTAACCAGAAGGCTAGCAGTTCAAACCCACCAGCCACTCCTCAGAAGGAAGATGGGGCAATGTACTTCTGTAGAGACACTGCCTCGGAAATCCAAGGAGGGGTCACTATGAGTCTAATCGACTCGCCAGCAGTGAGTTTGGTTTTTGGTTTGGAATGTGATATCTGTAAGCTTTTCCATCAATTATTATAATAGTAACAAACTACAACAACCATAAAATGGGCCCAAAAGAATATTTAAAAATTCCCAGAGGAGTGCATATAAAATTCTAGAATTTGGACTCTTTCCTTGAGGCTCTCGTTCTCGCCTCCCCACACTTGAACAGCCAACTGACTGTTTCACTACTTGCTCTAGCCTTTGACTTTTCTCTGCAGTTACAGAGTTTGTCGGGCTCAGTTACCGGAGAACAGTGGGGATTTTTTACCAAGTCGCCTTCACGGTTGGGCTCCTGGGGCTCGCGGGAGTGGCCTACGTGCTTCCTCACTGGAGGTGGCTGCAGTTCACAGTCACTCTGCCCAACTTCTGCTTCTTGCTCTATTACTGGTAAGTTGGTTTGAACAAAAAGGAGAACATCACAATGTTTGATTTTGCCTAAAAGGCCATCTTCCCTAGTGTACGCCATCCTTCCGTGTTCTAAGCTTTCCTTCACTCAACGTATCTCCTTCTCTGGAAATCAAGTGTCTTCACTTTGGGCTCACATTTTTTATGACCTGGATCTTTCATTTCCACTTTATTGATTTCGTATTTCAATTAACTTCTAGCAGCTGTGATACGCTTTGGACTGCAGATATTTTGAAGAGATGGACAATATTACTGTTGCCCTTCCATACCTCCTTAGAAAAATCTTCAGCATAGGGAAGCCAGAGCATGCCCCCATGTCACCCCCTTCCCATACCCACTGTCAAAGCAGACCTTCCCAATCAATTAAACGGAAAAGCCAAACTAACTGCCATCAAGTTGATTCCAACTCATAGTGACTCCCATTGAGTTTCCAAGGCAGTAAATCTTTACAGAAGTAGATTGTCCCATCTTCCTTCCGTGGAGCAGCTGGTGGGTTTGAACTGCCAACCTTCTGGTGAATGGTCAAATGCCTTAGGCACTACACCACCAGAGCTCCTTACAGCAGCCTTTATTCCAGATAAGGCCAACATGGTGCTCCCAAAAGACAAGACCAATCAATCAGAGTAACCACAGTAAGTGAAATATACGTTATTCCTGACTGAAGGAAACACATGGAAGGCAGCAGTCACTATTAGAAACCCTTAATGTGAGTGTCCAGAAATAAAGTAAGGGGGCTGCTGGTAAGTGAATAATTTCTTTTATAGGAATCAGCACAAAGCTGATTCCTATGAGGCAGAAGTTAAAGATGTCCCAAATGTCCAACCTCTCCAAACTGCTGTACCACCACTCCAGCATCTCTAACACCAACTACTCTTCCTCTCATCTTCAGGTTCAATAATTTGCTGAAAAGTCTCACAGAACTCATGAGTTGTGCTTATGGGAATTACAAGGTTTATTAAGGAAGTAGCAGGTTACAGTTCAGGATCAGGATCAATTTGGAAATAACAGGAATGACTCAGAATAGAATTCTTCAATCAAGATGGCTTCTTCTTGGCCTTCTGCCACCAGGCCCAGTTCAGGCCTGTGGTACCTCACTCTGTGGGACAGGAAGCTCACCAAAGCCATCTTGCACTGGCCTCCTGATTTTCAGTGGTCATGCTGCTGCCATGAGCAGCCATCTCTCACGGTCTTCAGTGTCACAACCCCTTCTTTCTCTCTCCCCATGTCTCTCACTAAAACCTCTGTCAGGGAAGCTGGTTACATAGCAAACTCCTTATCAATTTCAAGGTGTGCAAGATCCCCCAAGAGGACCACGAATTAACCAATCCCCTAAAAGATTTCCAAGAACCTTATCTGTATAGTCCCACCTCCACAAGGGTTCCATGTACCTTATTTGCGTTAGAAAACTGTCCAACCCCCTTGGTGGACCACCGGCACTTCATTTGTATTTGTTGTTGTTGTTGTCATATGCTGTTGAGTCAGACCCAACTCATAGAGACCCCTCTTTGGGTTTCTGAGGCTGTATCACTACTGAAGTAGTTTGCCCAACCTTCCTTCCGAGGAGTGGCTGGTGGGTTTGAACCGCCAGCCTTCTGGTTAGCAGTCAAGTGCCTTAGGCACTATGCTACCAGAGCTCCACCCATTCATTTTGTGGGAATTACAAGACCAAGGCTAATCAAACCAAAAAATTGTTGCTGTTGTGTCAATTCCCAGTAGAACTGCCCCTATAGGGTTTGTCAGACTATAATCTTTATGGGAGCAGATCACCACATTTTTCACAGAGCAGCTGGTGGGTTCAAACTTCCCACTTTTTGGTTAACAGCTAAGCGCTTTAACCACTGCACCACCAGGGCTCCTTAGACCATGGCTAGAAGGACCATGTTAGCGCAGTTCACTCCACCGCAGTGGTGCTGCACCACCAGACAACAGCTCTCCCTCAGGCAATACACCCACATATTCAGTTTGTCATCTACTCTTCCTCCATAGTTGTCTTCCCGGCAGATTAAACATCTTAGCCTGGCCTAGAAAGTCTGTTTCTCCTCCAGAAACACTGAAAATAATCCTTAACTCCTTCTTCCTCCTCTCCTTATATCTGATTTCCCCTCCTTTATCTCTCTCAATCCATCTTCTTTTTCCCCTACGTCCACTGTTGTGGCTGTTGGTTCTCATCAAGTTGCGTCTGACTCATGGTGGCCTAATACACAACAGAAAGAAACACGGCCTAGTCCTGTGCCATCTTCATAATCATTGATATATTTGAGTCCATTTTTGCATCCACTGTCAATCTATCTCATGAGGAAAACATTCTTTTTTACTTGGGTTTCTGCCATAGACTCCCAATAGGCCTCTACCTTTCATTCCAAACACTCACCTCCACCATGTCACTCCTCACTTAAAAGTATTTTGATGGATTTTTCCCTCAGAATAAACATCTGATGTTTTAGCACAACAACAACAAAAGAAGCCCATCTGTTATCCAAGTTCTGACGACCTCCAAAGCACTTCTTCTTGCCTCTCTCACTAAAATCAAAATGAATTTACTTACTATCCTACCAATGCACCATGATGGTGTTTGCATTTTTGAAAGATCACTCAAGATGCAGAGTGAAAAAGGGGTGTTATGGGGGAAGAATGGATTCAGGGAGCTCAATCAGAAAATGACTGCAATGATCCTTGCAGGAGATGACAAGGTCTGACTTAAGATGAAAGTTGTGGGTATGAAGAAGATGACATTATAAATAACTTTAATAGGTAGCAGTGACAGAGCTTAGTGGCTTGGTGATTGACTGTGGAGGGTCAGAGAATGGAGGTGTCTACTGGGATGACACCCAGAGTTTAGGCCTGTGCGTCTGCATGTGGTGGAGGTGCTATTCAGAGAAGTAAGGAACACAGAAGGAGGAGCAGGTTTAGAAGGAAAGGAGGTGGGTTTAAATTTGGGCATGCTGCATTTGGGGTTCTCGAAGGACATCTACATGCAGATACCCAGAAGTAGTTAAATTTAAAGGTCTGGAATTCAAGTAAAATTCAAACATGTCTTTCTTGTAGCTACAGCAGTGGATGAGATAACTCTGAGCAAATAGACAGAGTTGAGAAGGGAAGGGAGTATGGTGCACACCCTAGAACACAATCTTTGAAAGCCAAACAGGTGAAGAGGAGCCAGAACGAAGATGACTGAGGTGGAACTAGCAGAAAGAAAGGAGCAGTTCCAGAAGAGGGGTGGCAATGGAGGTCACAGGAGGGGGAACTCTGCTCAAGCACCACTCCCCGAAGAAGCCTTCCTTGGTTGACTTGTCACAATGTCCTAGGCTTGGTGACACTGTGCCTGTATCTCTGTAAACTTCCTGTATCAGTGTGTGCTAAAATCAACTATCCACTTGGCATTGTTTACTGGAGGTCTGCCCTCTAGACCATGAGGACTTGAGATCAGGTAGCCTGAGGGGCCATGTGGTCCAGCTTCCCACCCAGGGCTGTTTTCCCATAATAATGCCCTAATGGATGATTTTTCCACCCTTTGCTTGAACACCACTATGGATAAAGCTTACTTTATCATAAAGCAAGTCACTTTCCTGGAGAACTCAAAGCTCTTATTAAAGAAATTTTTGATTGAGCCAGAATTTGCATTCATGTGATCTTCATCCAGGGTCCCCAATTTTGTACTTGGAACTTAAAAAAACTGTTTACTTTCTTGTTGATCCTTATTATTCATGGATTTCATGTTTGTGAATTTGCCTCTGGCTACAATTTATATGTAAATCCAAAATCAATGAGCAGAGTGGCAAGACTTTCAATTGTCTGATGGCTATGTTTCCAGCTGAAGTCCAACAAGGCAATGATCTGCCTCCTTGTTTCCACTCTTATACTGTAAATACGTGTCCTCTCTGTGGACTGTTTAGTGCCAAGTTTTTCACATTTTTGTACCTCTAGTTGATAATTTCACTGTTTAAGATGGCTCTCAAGCATAGTACAGAAAACACTGTCTAGTGTTCTTAAACCCAAGAAGGCTGTAATGTGTGCTCTCGAGAAAATATGTGTGCTGGGAAAGCTTCACTGAGGCCCAAGCTATAGTGCTGTTGGCTGAGAGTTCCATGCAGTTGTTGTTAATTGTTGTTGAGTTGACTTCAATTTGTGGTGACCCTGTGTGTGCAGGGTAGAGCTATGCCCCAAAGGGATTTCAAGGCTGTGACCTTTCAGAAGGAGATGTCAGAACTTGCTTCTAAGATGCCCCTGGGTGGCTTTGAACTGCCAACCTTTCAGCTAGCAGTCAAGTGCTTAACCACTTGTGCCACCCAGGAACCCCTTAGTTCAGTGCTTACGATCTGCAATATATAGCAAATAGCCAAAACCAAACTCAGTGCCATCGAGTTGATTCCAACTCATAGTGACCACCCCCCATTGGGTTTCCATGGCTGTAGATCTTTACAGAAGCAGACTGCCTCCTCTTTTTTCTGCAGAGTGGTTGGTGGGTTTGAACCACTAACCTTTTAGTTAGCAGCCAAATGCCTTAACCACTACACCATCAGAACTCCTTAATATAAATTAAATAAGTATCTTTAAACACAAACAAGCTTACACGTTGACTGATGAAAATGTTGTTCCTGGGAAGCTTGCTGGAACCTCACTCCCTATTTCCCCTGGAAGCAGTGATTCAGGATTCATTCCTTCGGTGTTAGCAATGACTTTCTAGCACATAATGACTATGGGTAAAAGAACTACCTGCATATTCCACCCGGCAGTTCTTCACAAGCAAGACTGGGCAATCTATTTCCATAGAGGTTGGGCAATCCTACTTCCGTAGTGATACTGCCTCGGAAACCCAAGGAAAGGTCACTATGACTCGGAACTAACTCAATGGCACTGAGTTTGAGGTTCTCTGAGGCCATGGTGACTTCCCACCTCTACTCTGAGCGTTTCCAGTTCCTGCATTCATTCTCTGACTAGTGTCCAAGTCCTTCACCACCTTGGACATCTGGATCAGAAGATGGTCAGCTGAGCAGATCCTGCTTCCTGAACTGTGGCAGCCAGAGCTGAACATGGGGCTCCAGGAGTGATCCAGAAAACTCATCCACAGGGTCACCCAGGGGCACTGCTGTGAGCTGAGGCTTGACTGCGCTGAGCTCACTCGCTACAGGAACTGCCCTGACTTCTCTCCACTGCACTCCCACAGAGCCACCCAGCCCATCCTTTGGGCCCTGCCTCTCAGAACACCTTTCTTTCGGGGTGATGCTCCAGCTGGGGCCTTCCTACCTATACACAGGAACCCCAAACACCATCCTGCCAGGCCTTCCTCCTCCAACCCATCCTGACCCTGTTGCCGGGAACCGTCTCTGAGCTCAGACTCCAGTAAGCACACTCTTCCTGAATCAAGCCCAACCCAGGCAGCCTGGCTTTGGAGTTCTCCACCCTCTGCTCTGCAAAGCTCTTCTCGTCCTTTGGGAAATCAGCTTTCCACACGAAACAATTCTACCTGCTCCCACCCCATTCCCTGCTCCTAGTCAGTCCTCACCCTTGATAAAGTCTTCTCATGTGTGGCACAGAGGGGGTACACAGCAGCACCCTGCTTGGTAGCTGGCTCGGGGCTTTCCCTGAGTCCTCTAAGGAGGTGCCCGAGGCTTCCTTGACAGGGCAGACCGTAGTCAGCACTGGAAGGAGGAAAGAACCCCACGTTCCCCACAAATCTCTGCTCACATTGTAGCTCCCACTAACCTCAGCGTGTAAGATGCCCCACAGGAATCTTATCATGGCCATGGTGCTGGAAGGCTTGGTAAGACTCCCCACCACTCACCAGCCCTGCTAACACTCATCCTGTACCATAGGTGCCTCCCCGAGTCCCCGAGGTGGCTAATCGCCCAGAACAAAAGTGATGAGGCCATGATGATCATTAAGCACATCGCGAAGAAAAACAGAAAACCTCTACCTGTCGCTCTTCAGGTGAGCCGGCTGCTTCAGTCCCAAGTCACAAACCATGGGAAGGAGGTGCTGGGGACCCACAGGTCCCTGTGGGAAGGCACCTCACCTGCATGCCTGTGACCTGTGTAAAATGCGCAGAATAACTCATCTGCTGAGATCTGTGGTTTCTGGTAGGTTATTTTAAACAGGTGGGAAAAAAAAACTTAAAGGGCACAAAAAATCATTTAAAAATCAAATGAGTAGTGTCTACCTCTAACAACTCAGAACTCAGCTGCCCTTACCCCCATCCTCGGTATATCACCACCTGGTTTGCGTGTCTCCAGCATCCTCAGGAGAGGTGCCACAGAGGGCAGATTCCAAGATGAGTTAGGACTTGGTTTTTCAAATGCAAGTGATTTCTTAGAATTTTAAACATTTTAGATTGGAATTGTCCCAAAACAGTTCAAGAGGTGCTTGCCGTCTTCAATAGCATCGTGTTACTGGAGTGTCGGTTTTGTCTGTGTGTGGTGTTTTGCCTTCAGTAGATCTCATCCACTTTTACCCTAAACTGTCTCAGCTGACTTTTGTTGTTGGCATCAGCTGCTGTAAAGTGAGCTTCAACTCATGGCAGCCCAATGCACAGCAGACCAGAACGCTGCCTGGGCCTGCAGTGGCCTGTGTTCTGTTGTGACCCACTCACTGGGCTTTCATTGGGGAATTTTTAGAAGTAGGTTGCCAGGGCTGTCTTCCTATCGCAGCTGATAGGGGCTGGCAAAGAAGATCAACCTCATCAGAAAAGTATGTCTAAATAAAAATAAATCATTTCTGAATGAGGATCTAAGACCAGTTACCTGTAAGAATTTGAGCCATACCTGACATTTACAGGGAGGATTTGTGGATTGGAGACCTTTTGTCACCTCCTCTCTGATTTCTGGGTGGTTGGAACGTGTATTCTTGTTCACTAGTGATTGTCAAACCTACCTCTTAGGTTTTAGGGCCTTCTAGATGTTGGCAAGGAAATAAAGCACAAGTAAGTTTTTGTCTCACCAAAGGAGACAGAGCTCAGGAAATGGTGATGTCTTGCCAAAGTCTTGCTGGGAGGTTTCTCCCCCTTGTCTTCATTCTTTTGCACACAGTCCAAGGTCCTTTTAGGAAGGGGGCAGACTGGAGTGGTTTGTGTGCAGGGTTTCAAACTGGTTCATTCTGATTCTCACGCCCTACTGAGAATTTGCATTTCCACATTGGATAGACTGAAGCAGAATCTACTGGTTAACAAGACCCCTAGGTGATTCCTAGTGCACATAAGAATATCTAGGCATCTAGAAGAATCGCCCAGGCCAATCACACAGGTGAACAAGATCCCCAAGCGATTCTTCTAGATCCCCAGGTAATCACACAGGTGAACAAGATCCCCGAGCGATTCTTCTAGATCCCCAGGTATTCTTACGTGCACTAAGAATCACCTAGAGATCTTCTTAACCTGTAGATTTGGATTCAGTCTATCGGGAGTGGAATGAAGATTCGCAGCTGACAGCCAAACCAGAACGAACTGGTTCAAAGCCGTGTTCCTGTGAGAGCTCTGCTTCCAGACCCCTGGAGGTGACTCTCAACTCTGCTAACTGTGCTGTCCTGGAGCAGGGCTTCTCCCACGTGAATATCTGCCATTTCCTAGGGCTGCAGTAACAAATTACTGCAAGCTAAGTGGCTTACAACACAGAAATTCACTTTCTCACCATTATGGAGCCCAAAAATCTGAAATCAAGGAGTTAGCAGGGCTGATTCCTTCCGGAGGCTCTCAGAGAAGGTCTGTTCCATGCCTGCCCCCATGCTCCTTGGCTTCCAGCACTCCACGGTGCTCCTTGGCTTGTAGGCGTGTCACTCCACTCTCTGCCTCCATCTTCCCTGTGTGGCACTCTGTGTCCTCTCCTCTTCTTGTCAGGCCCCCAGTCATGGGAATTGGGGCCACCCTAAATCCAAAATGACCTCATCTCAGGATCCTTAACTAAGTACATCTGCACAGACCCTATTTCCAAGTCAGGTCACATTCTGAGGTTCCAGGTGGACGTGAATTTGGGGGGACAGGATTCGACCTGCTACATCGGCACATAGACTTGCTGGGGGCTTGTGAAAATGCAGATTCTACTTCAGTAAATGTGGGGCGGGACCTGAGAGCTTTATTCCAAACAAGCTCCAGGTGACGCTGACACTGCTGGGCTGAGTCTCCAGGCTCCTGGGCGGCGTTTCCCCAGCGGGTCACAAACAGGTCCAGGTGTGAGGAGAAGTGGATTCCCTCAGACCACAGGCAGCTGGCTGGGCCTCGATCTTACTCCACTGTGTTTTACCAACAGTATCACTGTGTATGTGCCATAATTATCTAACTTCTCTATACCTAAAGTTTCCTCTGCTGTAAAACCAGTTGAAAAAAAATAAAACCTAACTTATAGAACCATGGCAAAGATTAAGTAAGACAATACGTGCAAAGCACTGAGTGTCATATGGCCACATAAGCATTCGATAAATGTAAAGTATTATTACTCACTGCCGTCGAGTCGACTCTGACTCATACCCACTCCTCCTTGGGTTTCTGAGGTAGTATCTCTATGGAAGTATATGGCCCAGGAACACCACTATTAAACAAACAAATTTGTTACTGTTTCTGCTCATAGAGCCTTAGACCTGATGAAGAAGTTGGTGAGAAGTTGAATCCTTCATTTCTTGACTTGATTAGAACACCTCACATAAGGAAACACACTTTGATCTTGATGTACAACTGGTAAGGAACATTTTTCATTTTAAGATCCCCCCACATTCTTTTAATCCCTGTCAACCACATGACGGGGAGAGAACAACAGCACCTTCAGACCACAGCCTAATCCCAGGATTAGCATCGCAGTGGCAGGCTTTCCCAATGCCATTTTTCTCAGGCAAATATTGAAATCCATTTATAGTCCCTAAGCACTGATCAGTATGTGCTCAATTTTGGCTGCCCATTAGACTTCCCTGGGGAGACTAAAAACAACCTAGGCCAGAGCCCCACCTCCAGGGATGCTGATGTAATTAATCTGGGATAGGGCCCAGGTACAAGGATTTTAAAATATATTTCTAATATACAGCCAGAATTGAGAACTCTCAGTCTTGATTAATTAAAAATGAATGTAGATCTCTTATCGTACAGGGCTGGCAAGAAAAAAAGCATCTACCTGGAGGAAAAAATTCAATTTATGAACAAGAACAATCCATTGTTATCACAATCCAGTAACTTGAACTTCACTGTGTCCACTCGCTTTTAGTACAGGGAGCTGCTTGCCATGGGCTGTGACCATCATAGGAGGCTCAATTCCTTTCAAGGCACATTGGATGCCACACCAGCCAAATGAAGGCGTACAGCCACTGGCAAAACCAAAGTTCATCAGGAATTAATCTAGCAACTTCTATAAGGTTTCTTGTAAAACGTAGTGGTGACATTCGACCCCATTGTCCTCCTTTTTTGAATAATCATGACCCTTGCTCATAAGCTTTGTATTTTTCATTACAGATAATGAACATTTTTTTAATCGACAAAACTAGAAACAGCATCAAAATGTTGTTTGCGTCAGGTCAGAAGATAAACTATCAAGAAGGGTGGCTGTATCCATTTGTTTTTCTGGTTTCCTGAAATTTGAAATAATCAGTCAATCTTCTTGGTTCCAACTCCATTATAAGACCATGAAGAAAAATAATTAAGCAACCACTAATAACTCAATATCAAACCAAAAAACCAAACTCACTGCCATCGAGTTGATTCTGACTCATAGCAACCCCCTTTGGGTTTCTGAGGCTATAAATCTTTACAGAAGTAGATAGACCACCCCATCTTCTTTCTGCAGAGCAGCTGATGGGTTTGGACTGCTGACCCTCTGGTTAGCAGCCAAATGCCTTGTCCACTACGCCACCAGAGCTCCTTAATAAGTTTGACCATTGAGACATTTTTTCTTGGCTTTCAATTGGGCCATAGAATCCTATTCTAATTTTCTTCCCCTTCCTGGTTCTTGGGTCACAACCAGCCACACAATGGATAAGATGTATAAGAGCAATGGATGGAAGGAATAGCACTAAGAAGATGTTGACGAAAGGTGGCCCGCCATGGCTTCCCACTTTTCCAGAAGCCTCTCCCTTTTGGTTACCTGCTTTTGGTGTTTAGCTTGACCTAGGCTCTCCTCTCTGCTCAGGTTCACCAGCTCTGTTCTCTACCAGGGCCTCATCATGCACATGGGCCTTGCAGGGGGCAATATCTACCTGGACTTTTTCTACTCTGCGCTGGTAGAGTTCCCAGCAGCCTTCATCATCATCCTCACCATCGATCGCATTGGCCGCCGGTATCCTTGGGCTGGGTCAAATATGGTGGCAGGGGCAGCCTGCCTGGCCTCAATTTTTATCCCTGATGGTAAGTTTCAAAATAGGTTGGGGTTCCCCAAGGCCCTAAGAAGAGGAGATGTCATGACCGTTTGATACAATGAGTATGCAATTTACCATCCAAATCTATTTGGAAAGAGAACAATGGCTGGAACCTTCCTGGATAAACCCATGTGGCCACCTTGCCTTTAAGAACAATTGCATCCAATTGTTTCCTGGTGTAAAATTATAAGAAAGGCTATGAAGATCCATGTTTCATGCCATAGTGCTGCCCTAAGGCAGAAAGCATAGGCATTTGGGTAGAGTAGGGTCCAAAGGCATTGTGCCGATTGTGCTGAGTATTGCCTTAGCCACAAAACACTAAGAAGTCTTATTCCAATATGTCTAGATATTATTTAGGCAAATACAATGACCTTTCTGTATTGTCCTGCAGATTAAGAGAGAGAACTTAAGTAAATGCAATCAGTAAACAATTACTCAGTTCCTCTCCTTTTAAAATGCTTTATCGATAAAAAGGAACAAAATTCTGTATAATAGAATCCCTTAGCAACATGGAACTTGGTTTGAATTCCTCAGTTGATGTTGTTGTTATTTGCCGTGGAGTCGGACCCAACTCATAGCAACCCCTCCTTGGGTTTCCGAGGCAGTATCACTACAGAAGTAGATTGCCCAACCTTCCTTCCCCTCAGTTGATAGCAATTGTTTAAAATAGACCCATATTTTGCTGTTATCTCTATATACTACAGTTGGCCCATGTTTGGAAATAGGTACAATTCTGTTGTCATTAACCACTGATGTCTACAGCTAAGAGAGACAATTGTGTCTAAGGTTAAAACAAAGACAGATGAAGAATTTGTGACATTGTTTTGAGTCTATAGAAGAACACACTTTTCTTTCCTATCCCGTTCTGGAAATATGGGACTTCTCCTTGCAAAGCCCCTCTGGAGGACTCTAAAGATGAAGCATTGTGTGAATTATGGGTAAGCGGTGTTTGTTTTTGTTTTTCCTTTAGACCTACAATGGCTAAAAATTACAGTTGCATGCCTGGGCAGAATGGGGATTACAATGGCCTATGAGATGGTTTGCCTGGTCAATGCAGAACTGTACCCCACATTCATTAGGTGAGTACATTTTACTAGCACAGAGAGAGTGGGTGAAGGATCTTCTTCTTGGCTGGTTCTGCCACAGGTAGAACACCGGATGAGAGAAGATGAGAACATTTAAAGACAGAAGCCAAGTCAATAAGTTCACCTCTCACACTTATAGGCAGGGGTAAAATTCAGAAACTGTATGGTGATAACAGGAAATATTGAATGCCAAGAAGGAGACTGTCAAGTGGTTATTGGAAAGACTGGTCCAGAACAGCATAGACAGACAGAAATGACACAGGAAGCTGATGACGAAAGCACAAAACAAAAATTGTTCCCTCTCCCATTAAAAATCTTCAAGAAAGTTTATTTGAAACCAGTACATCAGAATATGAATGGAATTATTTATCAAATATAGAAGTGGGGATGGTGAGCCTTTGACTTCATTCTTTGGACACGTCATCAGGGAAGACCAATGACTACCATGCATGATGGTTGGTAAAGCAGGTCAGCCAAAATGAGGGAAACTCAATGAGATGGATTGACATTATGGCCTCAAACATGTCAGTGCACATGAGGATGGTGCAGGACCAGGCACCATTTCATTCTGTTGTACATACATAAGGTTACCATGAGTCAGGGCCAACGTGACAACTAACAACATCATTTTTGTGCATTAGAAAGAATGCGAATCCCTTTTTCAGTTTACAGACATTTTAATGATTTGGAGAGTATTTATTTGGGGTTGGGGTGGGGGTTTACTACATACTATGATAAGTTAAACAGTTAAGTAGGCTTCCTGAATTTTAGGAACCTTGGTGTCCTTGTCTGCTCCTCGATGTGTGACATTGGTGGCATCCTCACACCGTTCCTGGTGTACCGGCTCACCGACATCTGGCATGAACTCCCATTGATGGTTTTTGGTAAGATATCCTCATCAGTGTTATCAATATTGTTGAGTGAAATCTGTTTTTCTAGAGACCTCCATTATTTCTACCTAAAAATAGGAATCATGGATGCAACTATGAACACTCAAGTTTGAGAACCCATTAGGACGCACAGAGCTCAAGTTCATAAAGTTCAAAGCAGAAAATTCAAGAGAAAAAGTAAGCTAGAAGGGAGTTTCCATGAAGCAGGGCCCTGACCCTTTCCCCACTGGTTTCCACCCCTCCTTGGGTCTCTTTGTCAGAGAGCTGACTCTGCCACCTCTATGCCGAGATGTGGAAAACTACTTCAGTATTTCAAAGAAAGGTGGTTGGAATGAAAACAAAAACTAAAATTAAGAAAAGGTGTGAGCATAATGGAACACTGTGTGGGCTAGGGCCTCTCTCCTCCAACTCCTCTGGAGTTAGATTTATGTAAGATTGGCAGGACGTTCCCTTTCAACGTGGTCAGTGGAGTCAGGGACAGGCCAGACTGTACATTGCCTTCCCGCCCCCACCAGTGGGAGGAGGATACAACATCACAGGGACCAGTCCATTTATCAGCAGTTAGCACAGAGGCATAAAATCTGTGGATTAAGAGAATTCCTGTAGATTGATCCTCCCAGTGTCTCCTGGCTTTCCCCACAGCAAGAGGTTATGAAACAGATCTTCTCGCTTCCATGAGTCCCACAGACATCTGCGACATGAATGCTTTTTCCAGATTCATGCACACAGCACTCACTTTCTCATGTTAACCTAAACACTTCTGGACACACTCAATTCAATTTCCTTCAAGACCCACATTAAACCTCTTTTCATTTGAATGTGTTGCACTTTTTCCCATGGGCCTGCAACACTCAGGAGCCCTGGTAGGGCAATGGTTAAGCACTTGGCTGTTAACTGAAAGGTTGATGGTTTAAACTCACCTAGTAGCTGTGCAGGAGAAAGACCTGTCGATGTACTCCTATAAAGATTACAGCCAAGAAAACCCTGTGGGGGTAGTTCTACTCTGTCACGTGGGGTGACTGAGTCAGAATCGACTCGGAGGTACCCAACAGCAGCAACATACAGTGCTCACTTAATTTAAGGGAGGGAAGAAAAAGACCCCTGCACCAGATGCAAACCAGGGAGCACTCGCATCATTTCCTCCCGATGCTGCTGAAGGCCATGCATGTGTACCTCTGCTCACTCCTCCTGTTCCTCATCCTCTCCAGGGATTTGTGAGGGAAAAGGATTTTTCCACTGCTGTAGATATGCCAGTAAAAGTTCCAGGCTATTGATAGAACTCACCCTGGAAACAGACCCAGTGAGTCCTTCCACGTTCCAACTTCATCACAAGATGGCCAAAGTTGACATAACACAGGTTCTTGAACCTGAGATCGCCACGGTCTGGCCGCAGAGTGGCTGGCACTGCACCCAAGATTTCTTCCTCCCATAAATGCTGGCTGGGGACCTGTCATACCATTCCATCCCAGGGAGATGCCCACACACCCTCTAGACTCTTTCCTTCCTGGAAGAAGTTGAAAAATACCACAATCTCGGCTTACCCTTGGGAGGACAGTGGGTGATCAATGGGTGAGTGAGTGTTCCTGGGCAGAGAATGGACAGCCACTGTTTCTCTAGGGATGTTTGATAAAGCAATGAGAAGTCCAGTCCCACATGCACTGCTTTGACCCTTCTCCATGTTCCACCTCTGCCAAGAAAAGATAAAGGATTATACTGGCATTTCAACACATAAGGGAAATTTAAGGACAAGCCCCAACTTTATTTTTGCCTATAGTTCCATCTGCTTCCCTCACCAACCTTTAATCCCAGTAATCAGCAGAAAACAAAACTAATTGTTTTGCATTTTGACTTCTTTTCCTTCCATTTAGAATGACCAAAAACCAAACCAGTGGCCATGGCGTATAAATCAAGGCAACCCCTTATGTTGCAGAGTAGAACTGCTCCACAGGGTTTTCAAACCTATGACCTTCTGGAAGTAGGTCACCAGGCCTGTCTTCTGGCTCCTCTGCTCAGGTTCAAATTGCTAGTCTTTTAATTAGCGGTTGAGCCCCCCCAACCATTTCTACACGCCGATTGTGCTGAGTATTGCCTTAGCCACAAAACACTAAGAAGTCTGAAAAATCAACCAACTGCAAAGTCCTTGTTGCAAGAGCACTGGAAACATTGATAAGGAATATCCTGGCTAACTAGGACTTTCTTTGCAAGTGTAAAATGCCAATAATGCCTTGGTTACCTGTGGGTATCATTGTAATCCATTCCCATCACCAGCCTTGGCCTGTGGAAAACACTCACAGGCCAAGGATGAACTGGGCCCAGCATTCTACTGAAACTCCAAAACTAGTCAATGACCCATTTCCCACTTCCTGTATTCTATTACAGAAATGCAAATAGAAATGTAACTTTAAAAGTCCAAAACTTTCATGGAAATTTAAACAAACAGAAGCATTAAAGGGTTTATTACCTGGCCCCACCCATGCAAAAGTTACAGTTAGACACAAAGAAAACAGGAACTTAATCAAACACCTGACTTTGAACTGAAAGGCCTGGCTGTCCCTTTTAACGATGCTGTGCAGTAATACATGATTCATTACTTTTATTGGCTAGTAATGATCCGAACTTCTGACTTATTTTCATTACTAAGTGCTTTTTGTTGGCACGGTTACGTCCTTCCTTTTTTTAACACTTAGTGTTTTTGAGTTCCTTTCTAACTCCAAAGTGTCTTAATATGGCGATAATGTCCTCTAGCTTAGAATAACCTTGGCTCAAAATGTTAAGTACATACTTCATTTCCCTACAAGGAATTGTAACCCAGTGGAGTTTGGAGTCAGCATAATATTTGTGATGGAAAATAGAGCAGTTTGAGATGGCAAAAGAATCTGTAAATAAGTATAAGACAATACAAAAATAGAAATAAGGGGAGGTCTAATTACAGACCTGCATTTTTCAGTTCTTAATGTGATTTGCATATGTTTGGTTTTCAGCTGTGGTTGGTTTGATCGCTGGAGGGCTGGTGTTGCTGCTACCAGAGACCAAAGGAAAGGCTTTACCTGAGACTATAGAAGAAGCTGAAAGTATGCAAAGGTAGGGTGTTGAAATTCTTAAGTGAAAAATTCAGTAAGTGTTTTGGGACAACTCAGTAGCCAACTGGATAAAAGACTAGGTTGAATCCATACCTCATATCACACGTTGAGGAAAAATTCAAATATATCAAAGACTTAACTGCAAAAAGAAAGGAAACAGTAAAATAATGAAGAAACTATAGGAGAATTACTTTATACCATCATAGTGGGGAAAGTCTTTCTAAATAGGACACAAAATCCAAGACCCACAGAGGAAAGATTAATAAAGTTCCCTTCATAAAAATAAAAAAATTCTGCATTTTAAAAAAAGGGGGTGTGTGTGAAAAAAAAAAAAATACTTGGAGAAAATACTACTGGGCAAAGAGCTAATTTTTTCCAGTATATGAAGACTTGTAAAATACCTGAAAGAGCAGCTACCAATAGAAAAATCAGCAAAGGACTTCAACAGATAATTCAGGGAAAAGGGAATAAAACAGCTGTTATAGAGATGAAAATATGCTTAACTTCATTAATAATAACAAAAGTGCAAATTAACACTGTTAATATCCACTTTTGCCTGCATTGTAGGAGATGAAATTACTTGGTAATATACTACGTTGGGAAGAATAGGTGGAAATAGCCAGAACCATACATCACTGGTAGGAGCGCAACACATTGAAAACACATTGAAGAACAGTTTGACCACAACTATCAAAATTACCCACCTTTCACCTGTCAGTTTGTCCTACTGTGGTGACTTGCATGTTGCTTGCTATGAGGCTAGAGGCCATGCCACTGGTATTTCAGATACCAGCAGGGTTACACATGCTAGACAGGTTTCAGGGGAGCTTCCAGACTAAGACAGACTAGGAAGGACAGGGCCATCTACTTCTGAAAAACTTGGCCAGTAAAAACCTTGTAAATAGCAGTGAAACACTGCCTGAGATATTACTAAAAAATGTTATGAATAGCCTTGAAACATTGTCTGATATGTTGTTGTTGTTGTTATGTGCCATCGAGTCGGACACAACTCACAACGACCCCTCCTTGGGTTTCTGAGGCAGTATCACTACAGAAGTAGATTGCCCAACCTTCCTTCTGAGGAGTGGCTGTGGGTTTGAACCACCAGCCTTCTGGTTAGCAATCAAGTCCCTTAGGCACTATGCTACCAGAGCTCCTCTGATATAGTGCCAGAAAATGAGACCCTGGGGTTGGAAATCACTCAAAATATGACGGGAGAAGAGCTGCTTCCTCAAAGTAGAGTCGACCTTAATGATGTAGATGGAGTAAAGCTTTTGGGACCTCCATTTCCTGATGTGGCACAACTCAAAATGGAAAGAAACAGCTGCAAATATCCATTAATAATCGGAACATGAAGTGTACGAAATATGAATCTAGGAAGAACGGAAGCTGTCAGAATGAAATAGAATGCATAAAGATTGATATCCTAGGCATTAGTGAGCTGGAATGGACTGGCACTGGCCATTTTGAATGAGATAATCACATGCTCTACTTTGCCAGGAATGAGAAATTGAGGAGGAGTAGCATCACAATCACTGACAAAAAGAATGTTTCAAAATCTATCTTGCAGGACAATGCTGTCAGTATTAGGTTAATATCAATATGCCTACAAGGAAGACCAGTTAATACTACTGTTTTTCAAATTTACCAACCAACCACTAAAATCAAAGATGAGGAAATCAAAGATTTTTATCAACTTGATGAAAATTGTCTGAAATTGACCAAACATGCAATCAAGATGTATTGATTATTACTGGTGATTGAAATGTGGAAGTTGGAAACAAAGAAGAATCATCAGTACTTGGATAATATGGCCTTGGTGATAAAAATGACTCTGGAGATCCTATGACAGAATTTTGCAAGACCAATGACACATCTTTGCAAATACCTTTTTTCAGCATCAACAGTGACTATACATGTGGGCCTGACTAGATGGAATAAACAGGTATCAGATCAACTACATCTGTGGAAATAGGCAATGGAGAAGCTCAATATCATGAGTCAAAACAAGATCAGGAGATGACAGTGGAAGAGACTATCAATTGCTCATATTCAAGTTCAAGTGGAAGCTGAAGAAAATTAAAAGAAGTTCAAGAGAGCCAAAATATGACCTTGATTATATCCCACCTGAATTTACAGACTATCCAAAGAATATATTTGACACACTGAACACCAGTGACTGAAAACCAGATGAATTGTGGAATGACATCAAGGACAACATACATGAAGAAAGCAAACAGTCATTGAAAAGACAGGAAAGGACAACCAAAACGGGTGTCAGAGGAGACTCTGAAAGTTGCTCTAGTGAAGTAGCTAAAGTAAACAGAAGAAATGACAAGATAAAAAGCTGAACAGAAGTGTTCAAAGGACAGCTCAAGAAGACAGTCAATTATTATAATGAAATGTGCAAAGACCTGAAGTTAGAAAACCAAAAGGGAAGCCCACGCTTGGCATTTCTCAGGCTGAAAGAACAAAAGAAAATATTCAAGCCTTCAGTTGCAATCTTGAAGAATTCTGTGAGCAATATATTGAATGATGCAGGAAACATCTAAAGAAGATGGAAGGTCCAATCTGCATCCTATACAACTATGAGACCAGAAGAACTAGATGGTGCCCGGCTACCACTGTCATCCACTTGGAAGGGATGTAGGAGATCCTAGATAGAGAGGGAGAACAATGTGGAACAAAACTCAAAATCATTTGGAGGGGAAAAAAAAAAGATGGTTGGGACCAGGTTTGCTGGTCC